CGTGAAAGATACAACCATTTTGTTTCCCTCTTCTCGTGTTAGATCAGTTTTCTCTGAAGCACATGTGTAATGTAATTCAGATTAGCTCCATGCTAAGGCACAACGAGCCAAATTGAGACAAAGATCATCTTATGTAAAAGCTAACTTTTGACATTCGCCATCATGATCTCCCACATCCCCAGCCCCAACTTCATATGCAATGAAATGTTTAGCAATTGACGCCCTCCACTCCAATGCTTGTCTTCCACCCCTACTTACGCCATCACTTAGAGCATGATCTAGTTCAGTTATAGTTGAAGGAAGACAGTGATGTAATATATCAAGTCGTTTCCCCGTGAAAGATACAACCATTTTGTTTCCCTCTTCTCGTGTTAGATCAGTTTTCTCTGAAGCACATGTGTAATGTAATTCAGATTAGCTCCATGCTAAGGCACAACGAGCCAAATTGAGACAAAGATCATCCGTATGTAAAAGCGAACTTTTGACATTCGCCATCATGATCTCCCACATCCCCAGCCCCAACTTCATATACCAATATCTCTACTTATGAGTTATCGCCCCCACACACAACAAGAAATAAATAAATAGGAAAACGACTAATTTTAGATATCCAAAATATGAGTAAACAAAGAAAGTAGCAAAAAAGGATGGCAGCATAATAAGTACATGGTTATTTGTAAACCCCAGCTCATAGAATCAAGAAATACTTCATATATGCAGCCATGGTTGATGCAGGAAAATTTCGTTCTTCCGTAATATGCAGGGGAAACCAAGTACACATAATCTGCAACAATCAAGCACTAATAACTGCTGGAAGGGCATATTACCAACTTAGAAAAGAAAAGCAGCCATAGCATGTTATCAGTGGACTTTTGCCGCACTTCCCATTCACAAGATGCATTATCTTCGATGCATAATGCACACACAACAAAAAAGACTCCCACAAACTTGCGAGTTACAACACAATATGGTAGTATTATTATATTAACGTATCAAAACTAACAGAAATATTATATTAGCTTCTCTTGGGGCGTGTATGTTAAAGCATTTCAAAGACTACTTTGGGGTAACTCATGCTGATTGGACAGAGTTTTGGGCTGAATGTAATCTGATTTCATATGTCATGTCATGATTGTTGGTCTGATTTTGATGGTTTTCTACAAGATATCTTTGAAGACGAAAAGAAGAAAGAAATAATTTTCCTTTCTCTGTTTTCTTTCTAGCCCTTCTTTCACGTAGGTTTTCTTTCTCTGTTTGGAATAAGATACAGTTTTCCTTGTAAAAACAACAAAGAAATAGACCAGAACAAGATTATTTTGAGCATTTGAGGACTTACCCGAAGTGGACTTTGATTTCCAGCACAAAATTCTCAACAAAAGGGTCAAACAGGTGATCTTCACATGCTATTTGATCTTTAGCAGACAACATCAACCATAATTTTCAATTCCATGCTTGACGAGAACTGACGCAGGCAACAGAAGAAGAAAGATCAAGCCGATAACATAAAGAATGACAAGGAAATTTTCGACAACCCGGGCT